TATAGATAGAGTGAAAAGAGATAAGCGAATAATAGTAAGCGGTGCAGCGGTTAGAGGTTGCATAGGTACGCAAAATATCAGGGTCGGCTTTATAACTGTCTGGTTTGAATTATATCATTAAACAAGCGTCTTTGCTAAGGCGGCCAACTGTATAATATGTCAACGCGGGACAACAAGATTGAGGAGAAGTCTGGGTTTTGGTTCAGAATGTCCGAAAAGTTTTCACAGGTGCCCATATTAAATTTTACAAACAGCATTGAACGTAATGTTTCTACATTTAGTGACGAGTTTTCGGATGTCCGGGCGCTGCGGCTGGCGGCGACGTCTTGTCGTTCGTATTTTGGAAACGAGGAATGCGGGACATACGGGATTTCAATTGACTTTAGGGACGGTCCCGCAGAATGTGGGACGGTTGGCCGCCTAAGTCTTTGCTTTCCTAAATTCTTATGAATGTCCGATACTCAAATTCTACTTATCTGTATTTCTTTCTGTTTCACATTAACTGGTGTAGTGTTATTCCCTTTTCTTTATTAGTGCACGCTGCAATTCCTACCTGACATCTTTTTTCTATGTGTACGATATTCCCTACATCGACTGTAGTAGGCGTTCTGCCAGCAACCACTCTAGTTCTCTAGTATACTTATTAAGTTGAAAGAAGAAAGTAAATGCGACAGTTTTATTGCGAATTTTGAACGTCCCAGCTATATAAAACTACTTCCCTGCATGCCAACCCTGCTTACTGCGCGTTTTATAATTTGCCAGGTCATTTTTTAATACAGTAAAAGCTCTTTATTCGCGGGGTATACGTTCCATAAATATGCCGCGAATACAGAAACCGTAGATATGGAATGATAATTAGTATGGAGTCATAGGAGATACGTTCTAAGATTCCAAAATGAAACCAATATGAATCAAAATAAAATCAATGTAGGTATTAATAAATTCGCAATTAAAATTATTCGTTATAATCAGCTTTAGGCAAGAGTTTAAAAAATTTAGTGATTTTTTTCTTGTTTTGAATTTTGAAATTAGTCCACTCGGTTACATCTTTTATAAAAGTCGCCTCGGCACAAGCCAACAATACTCAAAAGATGCCGAT